ATGTCCACTCCACACTGCTGTAATCCAGAGAGAGCAAGAGAGACCAACTGAGGCTGGAGGAGGAGCCTGAAACCTTTCTGCCCCTCCCTCCGTCCCTCCTCCATCCTCCGTCCCACTGTCTCAGACACACTTCACTTCTCTGGAACAGAAGTCACTATTAATTACTGTAGAGGCTTTCTCTGTATGTGTAGAGCAGCAAATGCGGGTAAAACACTGTGTGTGGTTTCTTCTCAGAACTTCCCTGGCTCATCCTTTTTGTTGAATATCTGTCCTCACATTGTTTCTATGTTCCTATCAAAAGGTAGGAAATACCTCAAAGCTCAGAAACAGAAATGTTTCCTTTTTAACTGTGTCACCCCGTCTCCCGCCTGAGGGGGGGAGACGGGCTGGTGGGGGGATCATATTTTTTGAAACACACTTGTTTATCTGCTTGTTCATTTAGAAAATTCAAATACTAGTGTATTTAGCCAATATTTTCTGAAGACACTAGTCCTTCCTTTGAACTATTATAAAGCAATAGTTCAAAGCAACAGCAACAGGTCTATATAAGCGCCAATCAACCCCCTTCTATTTTGTTTTGGTGCCATAATAAAGACTATTGGTCACCCAGCAATAGCTGCTTTCTTGTCAATGACCTCTGACATTGAAAAGACAAACCTTAAAATTACAGCCACCTGTTCTAATGCAGGGGTGGATGTTCAAAGTCTACAATATATTGTTGAAAGACAGTTGTAAACACATAAATTTGTGTCTAATCAGATAAGGTATCAGATATGTGCCAAGTACACTTTAGGCCATAAATACACCTTTTATGAAAAAAACCTACATAATATATACATCTGAGGAACATTGATAAGTTGTGTGCGACACTTAGGATTTTCTCAAGACATTCTATCTTGTCGATGAATAAGTTTCAACGATTTAGAATATTTAACTGGAAGCTACTTCCTCAGTGAGCTGTTCCAATGATGATGAGCGCTAGCACCATGGCTGAATTATAAATAAATGTTGACATCCATCATTGGCATAGTTTTTAATCATTTATTGTGTGAAAAAGCTTATTCGTGTGTGATTTTAATTTAATTTTATATTTAATGAAAACACTGCAAATGTGAAATTTAGATTTTTCAACATCAGCAGAATATTTGCACACATTTCAATGGAAACTAAGCCAGTGTGATCTACTGATGGTCAGAAGGCCCAACAGTTGACGGCAGACCATGGAAGCCTGGCTTCTGTCAGACTTTCCAAGAGCAATCTGAATCTCTGAGCAGCAGCTCTCCTTCAGGCTTTACACCCATCTCTAACAGGAAGAACAGCTAACCAACAGATGAAGCTTATTTCAGTCGCTTGTATCCTGAACCTTGTTTATGTGCTTATGATCCAGGCCTCGTGACCATAAAAATCAAGAGCTTTGGTTTTTGAATCAGATTGCTCATCACCACATCAGGCTTGGGCAAAGCCCGTATTACAGCAGACAAAGCCCCAATCTGTCTCCTGCTCCTTCCTGCAGCAACTCGTGAACACAGAGACAGAGACAGTTTAACTCTTCCATTTTGAGCAGAGACTCGCTCAAAACCTACATTTGCAGCAGAATGTAGGTATACGTTCCACTGCACACTGAAAGTTGTGGACAGAAGACCAGAACAAAGTCACATTATATGCAAATCCCCTAAATTAGGTTCACAAACCAGACAGCCACATTGTGTCCTTCAACACCACAAGAACCATCAGGGACAAGGGGCAGCCAGATGGAGTTTAACATCCATCAGGACAAGCTTCACATTGTAACAAGACAACTCTTGCTTTGGTTATAAAAGAACCAGATAGTCTGATACTCCTGCAGTCCCCCTCCCAAATAACAAGTCTCAGCAACCCTGAAGAGTAAAGGTCTTGTCTAATACAAAAACACATTTAATGCAAAAGTTTATTCAAATGTATTTCAATCAAATAAAATCAGTCAGGTACCCAGCCATTTGCAGTTAGGTCCAACATAAATAATGATGCCAGCTGATTTATATTCATTATACTTTTCATTCCAACAAGAAGTTCTTGTCTGATATAAAATTAAATTAAACCTCTTTAATGACAATAAAACAATATAAAGGGAGTGTCAATGTTGATACCAGAAGGCTGGATTATCACTTTGCTGCATCCCTCCATCCAGACTAAATAACAAGAGATGGTGCAGAAAAATAACTGTCAACAGAAAGTACCTCCAGCAAATCCAGGATCAGAAGGAATGACAACCTGCCATGAAAGCAGTAAAATCACACTGAATTCACTCAGCTCTCAGTTCCTGTGCACTTGTATTAGTACCAGCACCAGAGAGTATTGGATAACAGCAGACTGAATGATGACTGTTTTCAACCGAGCTGCTGGTCCTCCAGCAGGCGGGACCATCTGAAGGACCAACTGCAGCAGCAGTCCAGGAAACACACGAGGACATAGCCTAGAAAAAGAGTTTCAGCAACACTGTTTCACTGCAGTGTCCCATTTTATTCACCTTCATCTTCTGATGACACTCCCCAGCAGGATTCGGCAGACATTAGGTATGAATGCTTGGACTGCAGCTTTTCTTACCGCAGTCTTATGACTGCGGTACGGAAAGCAGTCCTTGACTAAGGTAAGAGAGGCAGAGACTCAGACTGGCAAATAACTGTTACAAACCACACTGACTTCATCTGTCAGCCAGTTTAACTAATCCAACCCTACTGTCATGAACAATTGCAGCTGTATTGCATCCAGCTTTATTCTTGCTCCTATTACAAATGCAGGCAGAATTTTTGTAGATTTGAAACATTTTCTTGTGCCTTTATTTCATATTTTCCAGTAATGGAAAAGCTGCTAAAAGAAATGGAAGCTTTTCAGCCTGAGGATGTGAAGAACGAGGATTAAAGACATGCCTTTTAATCTGTCTTATTCTTTCTTTCACTTCACTTTAGAGTTTCACAGTCTTTCAGAGAGGACAAGGAGACCTACTTTATGAAGCAGTCACAAGACACCTGCTGCCAGCTAAACACGCACCTCCCCCGCCCCCCACACACACACACCTGAGCCTAAAGAAGAGTTTTGGTGTGGGTTTTTAGGATAGGTTACTGCAGTGTTACAATGTAGTTAGTCATGAAATGGTTGTAAAAACAGATGTCACATATGAGACATCTCACCACTGTTTGAGTGTGTGAGCTTTCTAAGCGTAATGGCTGCTGTTATTCCACCTGCATCGCGACTGACACAAGGTAACCATGTCATTGACAAAAGCAAGAAACAGTATGACTGTGTCAGGTAAGTCAGTTGATCTCACCGTGTGTGTGCAGGTTTGATTCTCCTGCAAAGCAAAAATATTGACCTTTTAAACCCATAACCCATCTAGAGCAAGGCCTGTTAAACCACAAAAACAACTGGTTGTGGCAGGGAGAATGTTTAGAGCAGCTTGGTTCAAAGTCATAAGCACTGCATGTCTGATAAGTCCTGAGAAGATAAGGGATGAACCTGATCATTGCAGCCGAGGACAGAGCAGTCAGTTTCATCAACAACCTTACTTTGTTTCTGTAAAGCACAGCCAGTATGACGAAATCAGCTTTCTATCACCTGAAGAACATTCCTATGATCAAAGGACTAAAATTTCAGTAAGACCTAGAGAAACTCATGCATGCATCGTGATCATGGGTCTTTGGTTGCATCTTTGGTTGCAATGATTGCTGCAGCAGTGTCTTCTCAAGTCTGCCTAAAAAATAATTCAGGCAAGTGCAGCTGATCCAGAACACTGCTGCTTTCTTCTCACTAAAACTAAGAAGACAGAACACATCAATCTGTTCTAAAGTCCCTACTATTGGAGCAAAGACTTTAAGATACTTAGTTTATACATTACTGTGTAAACTAAAATATTGTGGCTTGGTGCCATGATATTTTAAAGGTCTGCAGAAGTTATATCAACCTTTCAGGCCAATCAGGTCTTCTGGTTATGGTTCTGCTCTGCATCCCCAGAACCAAACACGGAGAAGCAGCATTCAGCTTCTATGCATCACAAACCTGGGACATGCTTTCAGAAAACTGCAAAATAACTGAAACACTGACTTTTATTAAATCAAGATCAACCCCACCTATTCAGAGTTGATTTTGGACCATAATAAATGAAAAACTAACACTTAATGAGTGTTGATGATGGACTCTGACAAAATATAATGATTGAGTCAGGTTTTTCAGTTGGTTTTTATGAATTTTTACTTTTGTGTTTTTTTTCTTTTAAGACAAAACACTTGGACTGCCTTATTGCTAAAATGTGCTATACTAATCAACTTGATTTATTGATTGATGCAGGAGGAAACGAAATGCCGTGTGTCCTGATGCTTCCCTCCCTTCTATATGGACCACGAAATGATGCGATTCAACACAGCTCAATAGCACCATCTGTAGGACAAAGACAACCAATACAACAGAAAGGACCAAAAACCCCCTCAAATCTCAAGTTTCATCTGTGTACAGTGATAATCATAGAAACTATTGTGGTAGATAGACAATGTTCACTCCCCAGTAATGAAATGTCAGAAGCAGACCCTTTAAGTCCTACAAAATGTATGAATGTGTCTCATTGGGTGGCATTTGTTTGGGAAACACATCCAATAGAATAGGTATTTCATTTTGATGAAATCTGAGGAATTCAGAAGCCAATCCATTTCTATTTTGTGGAAAAGAGTCTCATCCTGGTGAAAGAGGCCAAGGCAACAGAAAATTCTAAATAAAAAAATTCCCCTGCACTTTCAACAAACCACCAGCAGGAGAAAGTGCAGCTCAATTCTTCTAGTACCTTCAGTTTGTCCAAAAGACAAACTGAAGGTACTACTAGTTCATATAAATATTATCATTTTTATGCAATGATTTTGTCTCTAAAGGACATAATGGATATCAGGTTGTTGCAGGTTGCTTTGCACATTCTGAGCATCACTGCTAGCAGACTGTGAGCAGAACTCTCCTGATAAATGTTGAGGAACTGTTCCTACCTTTCCCTGAGCTGAAGAAGCAGTCCATCTCAACACTGGACCGAGAGTGAGAGATGCAGAGAGCTGAGCTTGGGACCAGCCCCTCCTGAGGCGGGCTGCGCTCGGTGGTCCGGACCAGACACCAGCCGGGCCGCTCTGTGGGTCGTTCCAATAGCTCTACGGTCTGGCCTGCAGTGGACACAAGAGAGATGGTTGTCTCACTTTAAACCGATGGCTAGGAGGGAGGTGTGAGCGGGTCTCACCTGTGCTGATGGACAGCTCTGTGCTGCATCCTGCAGTGAAGTCCTGGAGGACCACGGTCAGCTCACACCCACCAGAGAGCTGCAAACAGAGAGAACCACATGTCACAGTCTGCAGAGCAATCACCTGTTCCACCGACACAGCACTGTCCACATTCCTGCTCTGGAACAGAATTTAGAAACTTAAGACATAAACAATCTAAGGAGGAAGGCCATCCCTGGTTTTTACAGATTATATTGCCACTGGCATTTATGATAAAAATTAATCTAAGCCCAAAGCATTGGACCAGACCTGACTGTAACAATGCCATCCAAATGTAATGAGGCTTTCGGTTGATCAATTTGTAAAAACATTTTTACATCTAATGAGTCTAATTTGGATCCACTCTTCAACAGAAGAGCACACAGCTAAGGACTAGTATGTGCTCACAGTAACCTCTGTAACCCATGTTAATGTTTACCCCTGATAACAGGAGAAGGAAGCTGAAGCACTCAAAGTTCTCATAAGTTATGCATCACTGTGTCAGCTTCATGGCATTAACGTGTGCTGGTCTTTAGCCATGTTAACCTGAGAAACAACACACACACAGATGCCAATCCTCAGCATTTACACACCAGTCACATTGACACGGAGTGATCAGGCGGTCGGCCTGGCTACATGAAATCCCACCATTTATTCATCAGTGTATGTGTATACAGGGCAAAAGGTTTTATCACCTTAGACTTGGACACAATTTGACTAATTGTTGTTACATGTGTCATGTAACAACCAGTGAGGACAACAACATAAAATCTCTCCAAATTCTTCGTTTTATGTTTCAGCAAACATTCACCAGCACAGAAGCACAGCACGTCTTTCAGACAAACAGGATGAATAAACTGGACAAACTGCTGGAAAATGTAAGTAGTGGCAAGGTTTAATTGAGGCCAAATCATCCTGCTCTATTTGCTCCATTTTCTCTGTTTTGGAAAATGTTAGGTGGTGTGTGAGTGTATGTGTCTACACTGTAGTGTGAGCTGGGCTTAAGATCTCCTGGCAACAAAGACTGTTGTTTCTATTAAGGTGCAAGTAAACTTCTACCTGACAGATGGCCCCACACACACACACATACAGTTGTTTTCAGTCTTTCTGGCTCAGTTCTGTTCAGCCCTGAGTTGAACCATCCAGCCCTGAGTTGAATCATCCAGCCCGTGTGCTGCGGGTAACAAAAATCTTCCTGCACATTTTCATATCAAATTTCAAAATGTTTTTGGCTCCAATTTTCTGTTCTGTCTCTGTTCATTTGAAGCATTAATATAAAGCAGAAATACAAAATTTCAGTTTGAACATAGTAAAGATTTTACTGTAGTGATCTGGCCTTAAACACCACTGACTGCATGACATGAAATAATGGACAAAGGTTGACATTTATACAGATGGACAAATGAATGAATAAACAGTTGAAGGGTTGGCTGGATGACCTGATGGATGATAGTTTTTTGTATAAAACTTCCAGAGTTCTCAGGTAGGTATGTACAGTAGATGTATGGGTAGGGTTAGAGTCAGTCACAAAGGGAAATTAAGCATCTTAACTCATATCATCCAAGTACTTCGAAGAAGTAGATGTGGATGGTGAAGGACGGATGTCCAGTAGCAGTCAGTCTCCCAACAAATCTAAAGGCGGGTCCGATTAAAGCTCTGCTAATCCACCTCATTTACTTTTACTGTTCCCTTTTAAAGCTTTGTCTAGCTTTCTGGTTAGAAAGCTGGGCAGAGCGATGGAGTGGTGGATATGATCCTCACCCATACAGCTCTGTATCCATGAAGCCACCTTATTAGATCTTCTAGGATTTGGGGTCAAAGTTTACATATTTCAGCTTGAGATAATCAGCTGCACTTGCAAAAATAATAGCAAGTGCCATAGTTATGAATCATAACTGTCAGAGCCGGTTTTATCATAAAATGAACTCTGAAAACCCAGAAGTGTCAGATGTTCTTTTCACATTTAACAATCAAACCAGCATCATAACTTTGTTGCTTTCAGATCACCTGTGAGGTCTGAGGACATTCCAGCTGCATTCAGTTCAGTTTAAGTTTATTTCATCAAAGACAACATGTTAAATAATGTTACATGATAACTAGAGCAACTCTTTTCTGTCACATACACACACATATATTGAATTTATGTGACAAAAAAAGTAAAATATGCATTAGAGGAAGCTAATTCTTCATATGTCAGGATACATCAGTATTCACATATTTGCTGTTGTTGTAGCCATTGTTTCATCTCGGTCTCAAAATATATTAATATGTGTAAATATTTATAATATTTACCTTATAATTGAAGGTAAACTGTTTCAGAAGTGAGGACCTCTGAATGAGAAGGAACATTGACCAAATGATGTTTTGTAAGATGTCTTGTTGCTTCAGGACTGTCGCTGACTTCCACCTCCACCATGTTTTCAGACTGACTTGCTTCGTTTGAGAGAGTGGGAATTACGCTCTGCTGTCTTGTCATATGACCCTCCTCTGCGCACTCCAAACGTGTGTGCACATGACACCTTGTGATGGTCACATGCTTCAGTAGAAGACAGCACAGAGATGACAATCTGTATGACATCAGTGTCATTTACTGATGAAATTTATTTTTAATAGATATTTTGATGTGGTGAACAGGCCTTTCTGAAAAAAATTAAATAAAAGAAAAGAAAAAAATATGATGAAAATAGACCTAATAAATTTTGAATTTTTGAAAGCGTATTACCTAATCTAACATACAACAAAGGCTTTTATTATATTTACTCCTTCTCCTCACCTCTACACTTTAACCCAGTAGATAACTTCCATTCTCAAATTTCAGATATTGATTTTATTGCTCCCAATGAAGTGAAGGTTGTTTCTGATACAAACAAGTCTCCATGGAGATGTGTGCAAACAGAATTGCAACAAATCTTTGTTGTAGTGCCAAACATGAATGGCGTAAAACTCAACGTCACGTTTATTACAAAATCTATATATCACTCAACACTAAAACATGCAAGGGAAACATTCTCAGCAGAAATCAGAAAGAAAAACAATAATGCCACAGCCGACTCGTGTAACTGAACCACCTGAACTCCACTCTAACACAGTCTGCAATTTATTTGCCAAATTTTCTGCTAAGATTTTTTTTTAATTAGATCAATCTGCACATCCAGACTAAATCCAATTTCAATGCTAGGCACAAACATGACAAATGCAAAAAAAGAGACTCGATTTCAAGTATTCAACTATAAAAGGTTAGAAGAAAACATAAATCAATTTAGCTCCTCTTATTGCTGTCTTGGTATCATACCCACAACTTTTTTTAAATGGAAGTTCAGCCTGTCGGTGCGTCAGCTCTGATTCATCAGAGCTGATCATCAGGTGTTTTTCCCCAGGCCTTTAAAAACAGCAGTTATCAAACCACTAATAAAAAGACTCATTTCTACTCAACACATCCTTTGGTTTCAGGATGTTTACTTTACCTTTTTTAACACCTGAGTTTGTGCAGGATATTGTCATGTTTGCAAAAGAAAATGTTCTTGAGACAGAGATGTTTCCCCAAGTTAACTAGCCGAGCCCATTGGCAGGGGCACTATGTGTTTATGTATCAATTTTTTTTTTTATTATTAGGTAATTATGGTGTACGCGGTTGGAAGACACTGTTGACAATACCCAGACACACAACTATGTTCTAACATTTTTTAAAAAGGCAAGCACAAAAAGATTTAAAAAATGTTCTTGCATTCAGTCAAATCAATGGATCTTGAAACAGGCTGTGTAATGCTGGTCAGATTCAAAGATGACCTGAGGTATGCACCAACTATGCAGTTGCGTAGGGCATCCCAGACATTCACAGGATCTTCACGAATGCTTACCTTTTGACACCTGGAACTTTAACATTTGCTTACTGAAATTACAATACTATTTGATTTAATCCCACCATCTGGGGATGAAGACGGTGGGATTCACATCCTGGGCCTTAAGCCTATGTCAACACCTCAAGTATAAAGTTATGGCTTGGGAAACCCTGATCCCAGTTTGGGTTCAGAATTTAATTGAGGCATTCCAGAAAGACTAACTTACCAAACTCAGTTACACTGATCCTGAATGACAAAGAGAATTAGACTTGGGCCAGATTAAGACTAGATGTATGAATGTACACACAAATTGAGCTGATCCTAATTGACATTACTAAACTAAATCAGTTCAGTATCATTGGTTTATATTACAGTGAAGATATGAAAAACAAGGTTCACCAAAGATGAAAACAAAGAGCTTTAGTGAATGTTATTAATAAAAACATCTACCAGCTGTCATATGACCTCTCTAACACCCCCCCCCCCCCCACACACACACACACACACACCCGCTCGCACTGTCTGAGGTTTCTGAGAATAATTCAGTGCTCCAGCAGCTTCAGGTTTGTAGTCAATGTGAGGAATAAGAGTCAACATCCAGCAGGACTGACTGTACTGACTGACAAGGTGAGTTTTTTTACATTCTCTGGAGCCATAATTTGTATACCGACTTCAGATAACCAAAATCACAAATAATGAAGAGTGACAGTCTACTAAAGCAATTAAAGCTTCAAGTTGATTCATTTAAGATGTAATACCTTGTTAAGAACAGCCATCTAGATAAGGTCTTGAATGTAAAACATGCCTTCTTTTGGATGTTCACTATCCGTTTTAAAACTGGACAGAAAGGCATGGAACAATTCCCCCAGGTACTGAAGTGAAAATATACTGTACATCCAATCACCAGGTTCTGTTTGGACATTTCGGTGGTGAACTGAGTTAAGATGATCGTCTACAGCTACATATCAAACCTGTTGGGGTGAAGTCACTACAGAACCAAGAACAAACAGTGCCAACACACATTTACCCTCCATGTGTTTGCAGTCACATGTATATAAGCATGGAGCCCATAAACATTCAGAGATGCCGTGATTAGAGTGTCCCAACTCTGAATTATAAAGCCTGCTTCAGCCATTATCACACTGCACAGACGAACCCCTCTCTAAACCGCCTCTGATCTGCCTCATATCACAGATTATATAATATTGCACATCAGTTTTA